AGTTGCGTTCCCCACCACCATAAAGTGGCTTCCTGTGCCTTTTCTATAAAAAACTTTCATGTTAATTGTTCTGATCAACTTTCCTCTTGACTTTATGAATTTAAGCTCAGTACTAGATTGGCAGCTAGGTCTCATCATTTTACAGTTGAAATGGCTAGATGTAACCGTAAGTTCTGTGCTAACGGTTTCTTCTATCGCATTTCTTGCTTGTACAACTTTCTTCCGGTTTCTTGTTTACCAAAATACTTTGATTTTCAAAAATTTAAATGCAATGTCAATCGTTATCTTCTGCCTTCGTAAAATCTTATACTTTTATTGTTCTCTGTCCTTAATAGTATATATTTTCTCATATTCTCTAACACTAAATAACCCCCTCCCCTTGAGCCATAGTGGCTTTATTGCCATGCCTGGAGGTGAAACGATTATATATATATATATATATATATATATATATGTGTGTGTGTGTGTGTGTGTGTGTGTGTGTGTGTGTGTGTGTGTGTGCAGGCATGTAGAGAAATAGGAAAGAACACGTTAGGTAAATAATCCAGAGTTCTTTAGTATTTTTAAAAAACAGTGCTCCATACAGAATTAGAGCTTAGATGATAATTATTTTTTTAAAAATATGATTCCTTCGCTACATAAGAGTTCTCATGTTTCAAAAACGAGAGCCGAAACCATCAATATAATTATTAAATTGAAAAATTTTCGCTTGCGGATGAAACAGGGCTTGTTACTTTAAATCAATTTAATTTTAATAATTATATTGATGGTTTCGGCTCTCGTTTTTGAAACATGAGAACTCTTATGTAGCAAAGGAATCATATTTTTAAAAAAAAGTAATTATAAAAAGTAATTATATATATATATATATATATATATATATATATATATATATATAAGTTTTTTGTGGTACAGAATTTAATAATAGATAGGAAATGACACTATCCCAGCATTTGGATTCGAGAATAAAACAGCATTTACCCCAAGGATTTTGAATCTGTCCTCCAGGAATAGCCAACTGACTATTCTGGTTCTGCTATTGCTGAACATTTAATAAATAGAATGAAATGTGTGGAAAATTTTAGTGGGGACCGATTTATAATTTTATCTAGGTCCCACTCCACATTTCACCTCAAGGTTCTAGAGTCCTTGTATATCAGATCCAGTGAGCCTTCCCTTTGTAAACAGAGGGAATGCTTGCTGGGTCTGAATATTATTGGACTCTAGTTTCTTGAAATTCATAATTTTTTTATTTTTTTCCCATTCGATTACATTCGTTAATTAAAAATTAATTTACACGCTTTTTTAAATTCCCAGAATAAATAAACTTGATAAGTCCTGGGACGAAACCGGTTGTTTTTATTTTAGCTTTTGCATTTAAAAATGCCTTATAAATATTATCTTTTTCTATATATATATATATATATATATATATATATATATATATATATATATAAACACATAGGGCAACTATTTATTTACTTTCTTAATAGGGATTACCCACTTAAAACTATTCAAAATTCAATTATTAAGGCTTCCAAATAAAATAGAATTTCTCTTCTAACCTATGAAAAAAAGAATAATTACAGAATTCACATGGTTCTTTATTTTAATTACAATATCCACAAGCTTTCCCATATCCTAATAAAAGATTTCCAGCATTAAAAATTCGACCAGACATTTTTAAAAAATATTCAGCGAGAACCCAGTTCACGCTACGCTTCAGCCTCCCCACCCTACCGAATCTACACACACTCTTAACATCATCCGGCATATAGGATTCACCACATCACCAAGAGAATATCACCTGCAAGAAATCCCGATGCCAAATCTGTGATATCAATTCCACACACTCTGGCACTCACGTAGCTCTGAATTGTGACATTTTAAATCTTAGATATTTGCTTTTCTGTCCCCAAAAGAAATTATGTTGGAGAAACTGGAACAAAATTACATTCTCTTTCAATAAACATAAAAAACCATCAGGAACAATAAACACAATTTTACCTGTCGCTGCACGCTTCAACCAACCATTTCATAGCATTGATGATATCAGATGCGTACTTTTAGCGTCTTCATTCAAGAGCCGACAAGAAAAACGCAGATCGGAGTTGAAATTTATTTTCAAAATAATTTCACGCATTGAGGGATTAAACAGGGAATTAGGTTTACTCATGGAATCTAATTTCTACAGGAAGACCTCTAACCAACAACATTCATCGGAAGAGTAATTCCCACTTCGTTGATTATTCCTCGTGTCGTTGAAAAAGAACACAGGCGTGTCCGAAAATTCCGACATTAAAGTCTATATCTTCGTGCTTCATTTCAGTCAAAAAATTAATATATAATAAATATCAATTTTATTGACAATATTGGTATCATTTTGATGGCTTTTTATTCTTCAAATTTTATTAACCGGCCTATTAAATCTACGTCTTATAAGAAGCACAAGTGGATCACCTTTCGTTTTCACTATATATATATATATATATATATATATATATATATATATATATATATATATATATTCAAATAGATTAATTCCGACAAGTATTTTAATATATTTTCCGTTCATACGTTATTTTATAGATATAATTTATTTAAGTAAATGCTCTGTTTTTTTGTTTTTGTTTTTTGTCTGTTTTTTTTTAATTAAACAGTATTAATTACATTTACCCGTCTGAATGTTCGAGAAATTTCGTAGAAAATATGTGATTCTCCGGCAGGAATCGAACCTGTAACCCTTAATGAGAACCATCATTTGATCTGATGTGCTGTTAACCACTCAGCCAAAAGAAAGCGTCTAAACAGAAATTCGAACTTTTCTAACCAGATGCTTTCATCTATCCCTCTTGCCTTCAATGTGTACTGTAAGTGTCAAATTTTCCAAACCCTCTTTCCTCACAGTTGTGCCTTAGAAATTCCAACTCTCTCTCTCTCTCTCTCTCTCTCTCTCTCTCTCTGCTGTTAAGTATAAGTGCTCTTTTTGTTTCCATTTTTTCTGAAACTTCCTCATCGATCACATGTTCAGTCCATGATATTCTCAGCATTCTACTGTTATTGCTCCATCTTGTTTTTAAGAATAATGTTGAGAAACAAAAAAAGGAAATTATTTATGACTCAGCCTAATATTTAATACACATACACACACAAACAGGTTTTGTTTCTTTTACTTCGGCAATGAACCGACCGGTATCAGAAGAAAAAGAATTTTAATCCGGAATTTTTCGCTTGCGAAACTCTCTTCCGGTTTCTTGGTTTCCAGGCAACTTTGATCTTCAAAAATTTAAATGCAATGTCAATCGTCATCTTCTCTCACTTTGAATCCTGTTCTTTTATTGCCCTCTCTCCTTTATAGTGTGTGTTTTTTTTGGGGGGGGGTTGTTTTTTTCTAAAAACACTTTTCACTCTCAGTAACCCATTTCGTCTTAGTGGCTTTATTGCCTTGCTTGGAGTGAAATGATTTTTTTTAAAAATCTACATTAGCGAGACGAAATGTGATTCACGCTAGACATCGGGACGCTTGAGTTGCAAGTTAACTTTTATAAAGATTAAATTTTAACTCTGTTGAGGGGTTCTCCCCTTTTTACACAAATGGACTCACCCAGTATATACATATACTACTGCTACGGGAAGACACGAGAGTAAGAGAGAGCAAGACCGAAGAGTCGAGTCCAGAGTGAGTAAAAGGTTGTATGTAACCGGAAGAGTGAGGGGTGAGGTAACAGCGTTGTAGGAGTCACAGTGAGCGAGCACGTAGACTCAGTAAGAAGTCATACAGCGATACTTCAATACCAAAGACTGTATATATATTTTACTACTAACCCGTATTCCTGGAACTACTAACCTGCTTTACCAGTTTGTATTATTACGTTAATATATTATTTTCCTATATCCATTCGTGGCGTTTGTTATTTATTGGTACCGGATTTCATCCCAGAATCCACAACAAACTCAGTTTTTTTTTGTTTTTTTTTTTGGGGGGGGTAAGTTTACGTCACGAATGCAAGATATGAACAGTAGATAAACTAAAATAACCCGGATGTATCGTGGGAGACTCATAGATTATAATCCGTTCAATGCACCTTTGTCCGAGTAAATTATATTAATTTATATTCAAACGGCATTTTTCAGGTTCCATACTTCTCTTCATCTCTCTCTCTCTCTCTCTCCTTCCCTCTCTCCTCCTCTCATACCTCTCTGTCTGTCTCACTCACTCTCTCTGTCCTTCTTTATCCCCTTCTCTCTCTCCCTGTTTCAATAGCTTTCTCTCTCTCACTCACCTTCTCTCTTCCTCTCTCATTCTCTCTCTCTCTTTCCCTCACTACTTCCCTCTCCCGCTTCCCTCTCTACTTCACTCACTCTTTCCTTCTCTCTCTCCTGATCTCTCAATCACTCTATCTCGCTCATCTCTCTCCAAATTTCTCCCATTCTTTCTCTTCCTCTTTCATGATCTTTCTCGCTCTCTGTCTCTCACGGTCGCTCCCCTTCTCACTGTCTCTCTCATTCTCTCTTCCTCTCTCCGTCTTTCTCCCCCTTCTCATTCTACTTCTCTCACTCTTTCCTGCTCTCTCCTTCTCTCTCTCCGCCTCTCTGAATCATTCTCTCTCTATCTCTCTCGTTCTCTCCTTCTCTCTCACCTACTTCCTTAATCCCACTCTCTCTCTCTCTCTCTCTCCTTTTCCTCTTTCTCTCTTTCTCTCATTATCTCTCTCTCCTCTTCTCTCCGTCTCTCTCATTCTCCCACTCTTCTCTACTCTCCATCTCTCTCCCTCTTCTCTCTCTACTTCACTCACTCTTTTCTTCTCTCTCGGACTCTTCTTCACTCTCTCCGCCACTCTCAATCCATCTTTCTATATATCTCTCGCGTTCTCTCCTTCTCTCTCCCCTCTCTCAATCTCCTAATTTTTCTCTCGTTCTCCCTCTCTCCTTCTTTCTCCCCTTCTCTCTCTCCCACATTCATTATCTCTCTCCTTTTCTCTCGCTCGCTCCCCTTCTCTATGTCTCTCTCATTCTCTCTCTCTCTTTGCATTATCCTTCCCTCCCCCCTTCTCAATCTAATTCTCTCACCCTTTCCTTCTCTTTCGCTCTCCCCCTCTCTCTCCGCCTCTCTCTATCATTCTTACTCTATCACTCCCACTCTCTCCTTCTCTCTTTCCTTCTCGGTCCCTGTCTATCTCTCTCGCTCTCTCCTTTCCTCCTTATCTCTCTACCTCTTTCATTATCTCGCCCTCGCTCTCTTCTTTTTCTCTCTTTGCTTCTCTCTCATTCCTTCGCTTTCTCCCTATCTCTCTCTCATTCTCTCTCTCATTCCTTCGCTTTCTCCCTATCTCTCTCTCTCTCATTCTCTCTCTCTCTCTCTCTCTCTCTCTCTCTCTCTCTCTCTCTCTCTCAATACAGTTAACGTCAACGCATTCATTATCTTCCATTTGAGGCTTCCAATATTGCCCCCTGGTCCTAATCAGGACCTTTTTATTTCACAAGCACCCCTTTTTCTCTTCCCGCCTACCGCGTCCTTGCTCTAGTGCTCGTCCCCTCTCCACCATCTGTCGCCTGAAGTCGCTTTTCCACATTGACGCCTCGATTTCCACCGCCATATTGATTTTATATCAAAAGTGATAAACCCTCCGACAAATTCACGCTGCCCTCGGCTGGCGAGAAAGCAAAAATGTCGGCAATGATTTCAGTGAGTCAGATGTGACTTCTTGGAGGATTTGGAAGAGAAAAGAGGAAAGAAAGGAAAGAAAAGATCGCGATAAAAATTTATTTTTTTGTTTTGGTTTTTTGTTTTTTTTTTGGTGGGGCGATCGGGTAAGTGGATGTGGACAGAGATGATAGATATTAAATGAGTGGAACAGAAATATTTACAGCAGTTAGATTTTACAAGAGTACAAATGTAAAGGTTTTCAAAAGAAAATTAAAAAATTCTTTCACCAAATGTCCAAGCGAGAGACGACTTGTATGGAAAATCAGCAATTAAATAACGTAAGTTTTGATTGGGTTCGAACGCCTATCTGCAAGACTATTCGTATCTATCTGCGATAGGTACGAATAGTGTGGCAGACAGATAGATAGATAGATAGATAGATAGATAGATAGATAGATAGATAGATAGATAGATAGATATGAATAGTCCAAGATAGATAGATAGATAGATAGATAGATATGAATAGTCAGACAGATAGATAGATAGATAGATAGATATGAATAGTCCGATAGATAGATAGATCGATAGATAGATAGATAGATAGATAGATAGATAGATAGATAGATAGATATGAATAATCATAGATAGATAGATAGATATGAATAGTCCAAGATAGATAGATAGATAGATAGATAGATAGATAGATATGAATAGTCAGATAGATAGATAGATAGATAGATAGATATGAATAGTCCGAGATAGATAGATAGATAGATAGATAGATAGATAGATAGATATGAATAATCATAGATAGATAGATAGATATGAATAGTCCAAGATAGATAGATAGATAGATAGATAGATAGATAGATAGATAGATATGAATAGTCCAAGATAGATAGATAGTCTGCGATAAATACGAATAGTCTGACAGATAGATAGATAGATAGATAGATAGATAGATAGATATGAATAGTCCGAGATAGATAGATAGATAGATAGATAGATAGATCAATGATTATCGGTTTATTAAACGAAATGATTTTTGCAAATAAAAGCATCATTCAAGCAATCAGTTTCCCATGCATTATTTAGTGTCATGACTTTAGAGACACAATTAAAAAAAAATCAAATGAATGCGGGCCCTCGGGACACGCTCTGAAAGAACAGGAAAATAAATACATACACACACATACATATATATATATATATTTATATATATATATATATATATATATATATATATATATATATATATATATATATATATATATATATATATAAAGTAATCCTATGTGTGTGCGGGAATAAATAAGAGAGTGAGAGAGAGAGAGAGTTGAAAAAGAATAAATAAAAAAATAACTTTTTTTTTCCCAGAAAAACAAAGACGACGAGAAAAGGTCAAAAATCGATCACACTACATATGAGTAATGAGGTCACGTGATCGCTTCTACTTCATTTGATTTCATAACATTTACGATTCGCTTCGCATTCGCGGCGCCGTGAAATAAATAAATGAAACATGGCGGCGTCGATTCCGACCTGAGATCCCAGTGTGTAGTTGATCACCACCCCTCCAGATTTAGGGCCCTTAACAACCCCCAAAACCCCCAGCTTTGGACGTCATCTTTAAGCATTAGAGCCGCGTTTTGTTGCAATAAAATACTTGCTACTTGAAATCCGGGAAATACTGAACTTTTCTCTTTTCACTCCATACACCTGATCGATTGTCGTAAAGCGTTATTTAGAGCGCTTGTTGATATCGCCAATGCTATTTAGATCGATCCACACCGTCGGCTCTGTTGATCCAATACTGAACATGCCTTCGATCTGCTCAGTAAAATTTTCAGATAAACTTGAAAATTTATATCTGTTATCTTTAAGCTTTCTAGGCTATTACACCTTACAGGCCAAATTTATTACAATACGTACATTTTTTTTTCAGTGATGTTAACTCTCTACAAAACCTAAGAGTAACTCGAGGTAGAGTGTTACAGAGTAAGAGGTAAAGTTTATACGGATATGTGAGGCACGGTGGAGTAATGGATAGCGGCTCGGATTGAGGAATCGGAGAGCTGAGTTCGTATTCCAATCGGATCCATTACATTCACTAACGTGCTAATACCCTTGGGAAAGGTATAACTCCTCCTCTTCTCTCCCCCAGCTATGGGTAAATAGCAGGACAGACTGGGTTCTATAGCTTTGGCCGGCCATCTTTCTAGGAATTGGTGATAGAGCAACGAAAGATTTGCGACGTTTCCATTTGTGAGAAAGTGGTTGTAGGCAAGAATCAGACTATCGCCGCTCGGTGTCGACCTCACTTTATATATATATATGAGAGTAATTTTTTGAACTTCCAACATATATATATATATATATGAACAAACCAATACCCAAGGGTCAAAAAGAAAGAACTAAGAACATGTACTCCCGGTAAAAATAATCGTCTAGAATGAAACTTCAGAGTCCAAAGAAAAAAACCTCCGACACGAGTAAAGTAAAAATAACTAAGCAAAAAGTGCTCAATACGCTAAGTAGAGCAAATTAAGTAAATATATATTAGTAGGTTTACTTATATATATATACACACACACGCTCACACATATATATATATATATTGTGTATATTTAGGCAGCAATTTTTCATTAATTCATGTTTCATTAAATAATATAGACAAGTTTTGTCTATTTATTTTGAGTAAGTTCCTTTCATATTGTCTGATAAGCTTAATAACATTATCATTGAAAGACGAAAGGAAATCACCATATTGATACATGTTTAAATTCAATCTCGTAGGTGATCATGGCTCTCCACAACTACCTGTTTTTTATAACTCTTAATAAATTTTGTGTTTTCACTATTTCTCCTAAACCCTGTTCCGACATCCAAGCTCACTAAGTATGTTATGCGTTGTTTTCCTCTGACCCTGTTGGCGTCAATATATTATATATATATATATATATATATAAAGAAATATAGTCTTAAGGTGTGCTATATTTATGGGATAAAGTGCTCAATATCAGAGATAGAGCGTGTGTAAGTATAAAAGTGAACATAAAAGTCAACATTTAGAGGCGACAGGCTGTTTCTTGCTAGACGCAATCGTCAGGACACGAGTGTTTTTTTTCTCGGCTATTTATATATACGGCCGTATATATAAATAGCCGAGAATAAAAATAACACTGCCGCCTCTAGATGTTGACTTCTATGTTCACTTTTATATTATATATATATATATATATATATATATATATATATATATATATATATATAGTTTTGCGATATACTATATATCTGTATTAATGTGTTCAATATTATGTAAATAATGTGGCCTGAACATTAAGTATAAGTATGAAAGAGACTGTCGCTGCTATATATATATATATATAATAGGCAACTGTCAGATAGATAGATAGATAGTTCTAAAATTATAACCAGAAACAAATAACGTAGTTCGAAATGTAAAAAGTAGAGCAAAATTAATTTCCCCAACAAAGAACTCTAGTCAGTCTTTAAGAAAACTTGTATAAAAGAAAATCAGCTACCCAAATACACCCAGGACACATTAACAAAAAATAAAGACTTCTAAATTGACCTTCATCCTTCAATTAAAATCTCCGACGGATGCCTAATCAGTCGGGTTTCGATCCCGGCTTCAGGCAATTCGATGTCTAGCCACACTGATGAACTGTGAAACAGTCTGTCTGTGGATGAAAATAGATAGATAGATAGATAAACCTAGTGAGCCAGACAAACCTACCCAGGTTTCACCTAAGCGCTTAGGTGAAACCTTGGTAGGATTGTCTGGCTCACTAGGTTTATCTAGGTCTGCTCTACGGTTGTATTGAGCTCTTTTGTTAGTTGTTTACTCGTATCGGGTTTTTTTCTTTGGGCTTTAAACCTGTATCTGTGCGATTTTTTTGCGACAGACTTTCATGTTTCTAGCTCTTTCTTTTTTTAAAGCCTTTTTTTCCCTCAAGATTGATTTGATTATTGGCAAATCAAAAATTCGAAGGTTTTTCGAGATATATATATATATATATATATATATATATATATATATATATATATATATATATGCGTGTGTTTGTGTGTGTGTGTGTAACTACTTACTACTTAGTAGCAAACACAACGTATATGTGTGCGTGTATGTTTGCTTTGACGTAGTGTAATGGTTAACAAGCTTGTTTTGCCAGAACAGTTACGACTGAATAGTGAGTCCGATGCTCACTGGATTCTCGTACTTTCGGCCTTGTGCCACCTCTAAGCTCCTTACTAAATCCCTGTGTGTGTATGTGTTCATGTATCTCATATATAAAATATATCCGTAAAGAAAATATATACTTTCGATAAAGTTCCTCAGAGAACAAAACGCGTTGGTACAGAAAAGTTCTCCTTTTGTGTGTTTATATATATACAAATTTGTAGCCTCTGTCTGCCTGTTATTGAACTCCTCCTAGAGTTTTGGAGATAGACCCTCCCATAAATATATATATATATATATATATATATATATATATATATATATATATATATATATATATATTATATTGAAACCACATTACCCAGGAGCTTGGGTAAGTATATTTCATTTTGATCAAAGTGGGGCACAAACCTTCCACTGAATTTTTTTTCCCTATGGTATAAATTAAATTTAAATTCGAAGGCAATGACTCCTACGTACTTGGATAATTATATCTAATTTTGATCCAAGGGGGTCCCAGGCAAGGGTGGTGCACAACTCCACACCGAAATTTTTTTCCCTTTGTTTTAAATAAAATTTAAATTTGAACAAGGGAATGACTCCTCTCCAAAAGATAGAAGGAGAAACTCAGAAAATGGAGGTCACATCGGTAAGATCAACATGAGGCAGTATGG